TTCTGGAATTCCCATTCTTCGCAATGTTATCCATAGTTTATTATGATCCACACAGTCGAATGCCTTTGCATAGTCAATAAAACACAGGTAAACATCTTTCTTGTATTGTCTGCTTTCAGCGAGGATCCATCTGACATCAGCGGTGATATCCCTGGTTCCACATCTTCTTCTGAATCTGGCCTGAATTTCTGGCACTTCCCTGTCAACATACTGCTGCAGCCGCTTTTGAATGATCTTTAGCAAAGTTTTACTTGTGTAATATTAATGATATTGTTCGATAATTTCCACATTTGGTTGGATCACCTTTCTTGGGAATAGGCATAAATATGGATCTCTTCCAGTTGTTTGGCCAGGTAGCTGTCTTCCAAATTTCTTGGCATAGACGAGTGAGCACTTCCAGCGCTTCATTTGTTTGTTGAAACATCTCAGTTGATACTCTGTCAATTCCTGGAGCTTTGTTTCTCGCCAGTGTCTTCAGTGCAGCTTGGACGTCTTCCTTCAGTACTGTCGGTTCCTGATCATATGCTACCTCTTGAAATGGTTGAACGTCGACCAGTTCTTTTTGGTATAATGACTCTATTCCTTCCATCTTCTTTTGATGCTTCCTGCATCATTTAATATTTTCCCCATAGAATCCTTCACTATTGCAACTTGAGGCTTGAATTTTTTCTTCAGTTCTTTCATCTTGAGGAATGCTGAGGGTGTTCTTCCCTTTTTGTTTTCTATCTCCAGCTCTTTGTACATGTCATTATAATACTTTGTCTTCTCGAGCTGCCCTTTGAAATCTGTTCCTTTCTTTTACTTCATCATTTCTTCCTTTTGTTTTAGCTACTCGATGTTCAAGAGCAAGTTTCAGAGTCTCTTCTGACATCCATTTTGGTCTTTCTTTTCTGGCTTTTTAATGACCTCTTGGCTTTTCTTCATGTATGATGTCCTTGATGTCATCCCATCAAGGGTTTTATGTTAGTTTACTCTTATTCATATGTTTGATCTGATTAGAAGGGATTTCCTGGAATTGATTTCTTTGTAGCACAGGAATTCTAATTCAGTGGGTCAGGGTAAGGTGTGGCATTCATTTGGATGCCTTAAAAGCTCGTAGGTGATTCTGATATGCATCCAGGGTGAGTTTTCTAAGTACAACATTCTTACATTTATCTCATTCTGACCTTCACAACAACTCAGAATAGGTGCTGTTAACCTGACTTCACAGATGAGGAAACTGAGGTACAAGAGCTTAAATGACTTAAATGTTTTACATTAGGAAAGGGCAGAAACAGAACCTAGGCCTTTAGATTTTCAGTCCAGTGCTGTGTTGTCACACCAAGCTATCTTCTGCTAGACTACAGGGGAGGGAGAAAATGAGGCAAATCAAGTACAAATTCAAAGTTTAGGCTGAAAGGACATTAGAGTCAAGTCCAAACCTCGTTTAATATAGAATTTTTTTTTCAGATTGTTAAAAAGTGATTACTTTCCAAATAATTCTGATAATAAAATGGTTATCACGTTGATGACTATAAATATGTTGAGCACTGTACCAAGCATCTCACATCCATTACTTCATTCAATCCTCACAACCCTATGGAGTCCAGGTACTATTTTATCCTTATTTTACAAATGAGGAAGTTAATGCTCAGAAAGGGTAAGAGGCGTGATCCACACCCAGGGTTCTCCTGTGAGAGCCTGACCTGGCAACCACCATAGTCTACTGCCTCTTCTCATCCATAATTACGTGATTTTTGAGGAGGGCATGCCACTGGAGTAGACTGGTCTGAAAGGGTGTGTGAGAAAGAGTTTGGGAAGTTTTTTGAAAGGCTCAGCTTTCAGAATACGCCAGGAGGGGAGATTCTAACTCAAGTGGTGCGCTTCATGTTGTTGTGGTAGGCACATAAATGTATGACCCCTGCCTTCTAGAAGAGAACTTAGCTCTGGCTTTTCATGAAGCCCAGGGAGAGTGGTTAACTGAGACTGCTCAGAATACAAACGTCTAACTGCATGGCTGGAGGAGGCCCTGCAAAGAGGAATGTAGTTCACGTTTTATGGAAATGCTGAGACTGGGAAAGAGCTGTGCGTGGAGGAAACATGCATAACATGAGAAGGGGTTACCGGTCAACTGCCTCCTCTGGTTTGGCCAAGAGGTTTCTATTATGATCTTCTAAACAGTCATTCTTGAGTCCTCCAAATGTGTCTGCATTTGTTGCAGGGATAGATTTACCCAGACAGGTGGAAGAGTCCTGACTGAAGGGTTATAAACAGCTGCAGAGGCCAGGGCTGTCTTCTAGCAAGTTCCCCGCCGCCCGGCATTCATCAGCCTTAGAACAGGCCCCCAAATCGGAACGACTGTAATTTTGGTCCACCGCACGCATCACCCGTTACAGCTAAATGGTAACTTTAAATTGTAAAGAATTTCTAGTCGCTTTGAAAGGGTTCAGGATCGTCTTGGCTTGCTTTCTGTTGCTGACTCATAGTGCCGCTGCTTTGGGACTGTCAGGTTTCCAAATGGGACACACAGTAGGTAGTCAATAAATGTCAACTTGTAGCAGTGATTTTCATCCCTTAAGGAGGATGCCCTTACCATTCCACTATGTGTAAGGCAAAGGAGTGAATAGTAACGACAAAACTGCCCTTGACCTGCCGGTTGCAACACCCCACAGTGAGCTTTTGCCTCTATCAGGTAACTTTTTTACAGTGACAGGGAGCACAACTTGCACCGCGCACGGGGCAGGTTCACCCTTGGTCCAATCATCGCCGAGATTTGGAGGTGGGGGAGGGGGAGAACTTACCCAGACCCTCCCGGTCCAGGAAGGGGGCAGGCTTAGACTGAGCAGGGGCCGCCGGAGCCACTTGTGTCGCTGTACTGTGCTTGACACTTCAGGAAACCAATAGGAACCAAGAGACCTATTTGAATCGGCCAATGCTAGCGGGGAGGGGGCGGGGCCTGAGGACTCTATAAAACCTGTATCCGGGCTACGGGCGGTGGCGGAGGCTCCTGCAGCGGTCGCCGGCTGTGGAGGTACTCTGCGCCCCTCGGCTCCGGCTCTCCGCGTCTCCTCGTGTTGCTCTTCGGCGCCATGACCACCACCACAACCTTCAAGGGCGTCGACCCCAACAGCAGGAACAGCTCCCGGTGAGTCCCCCGGGCTCTACCCGACTCGAGCCGGGCTGAGGGGCGGAGAGAGTCGCTGCCAGGAAGGGCCGCGTGTGGTCCGGGCGGCCGGTCGTTGGCAGTAACGTGACCGGCGCGCCGTCCTCCCGCCCGGTGGGCGGCAGGGACTCGGCTATCAGCGCCGCCTTTGTGTCGCCTGGAGAGCCGGGCGCGCCGGTCCCGCCCCGGCCCCCTCTTCTCTTCCATTCATTTCTTGCCCCACAGTGAGGGCTGGGTGGAGACCGACTGTCGACCGCCTCTGGCTGCATGGTGGGTGTTCGTCAATGCGAGCGTGCGGAGCGGTTCGCTTTCTCTCCTTTGCAGAGGCTGGCTCAGCCCCGGGGCGGTAGTCGCCCCCCACTCCTCGCTCCGGTGCCCGGGAGCCTCCGGGGCGCCTTGGCCAGGCCCCATTGTCCCACCCCCCCGTGCCACGCGCTCCTGCCTCTGACTGGGGGCATGTGGCTGACATCGCGCTCGGGTGCGGCGATCGGATCCTGACCGATGACCTCCGCACTCGGGCCTGCCCGGCAGGTGGTATTTGAGGTCGGGCGGGGCTGGTCAGCGCGACACCCGCCGCTTCTGGACCCAATCGTCCGGCCCTCTTCCAGGTTCCTCCCCTCTCCTAACAAAGGAAAGACCCCTTCTCTTTCCCCTCGCGCGCCCACCCCAGAACGGAAGGAGGAGCGAGCCAGGCCGAGGGGGTTTTCTGCGCTCAAACATTCGGACCTCGGGCTCTGCATCCACCTTTTTGGCTTACCCCGTTGACGTTTCCTAATGAGTTCATCCCTGGCCCCAGTTCCCTTTGCTGGAGGAGGTTTCCTGTTCTTGGGCGGGGCCGGAGACATCCATTGTCTCTTCCGTAGTGTCTTCACCTGGGAAACGGGGGCCCTTCTTGCCACTCGTCCCACAGTGTTTTGGGGAGAGGGCACTGGGCGCGGTGTTTGGGCTGGGATCCTTACCCAAGCCCTTGCCTAAATTGTAGGGAGGGTCTGGATTCTGTGGAAGGGGTCCACATTGTCTCGGCTAATTGCATACCGTTCTTTGAAGTGGGTTACAGGCATCTCTGGGATCCTGCTCAAGGCTTCAAGGAAGCTTAGATTCCACTTTTTCTGGACACCTTTTCGCCACTGATCACTACCCGCAGGCTTGTGTAGCCAGCCTTGGGGTCCTGGGCAAGTGGCACAAAGGGAGCCATTTTGTGGGGCTAAGAAAGACAGCCTGAAATAGCAGTATCTCACAGGGGTTAGACAACTTGGGAACAAAAAGAAGCCTCAACAGATGAGTCTTAGTAGAAAGCACTGGAGATGATGTTCCTTTTTCAACTCATTTCTTTCAGATTTACAGTGTAGAACGGGTGAATACGGTTTTGTTTTTTAAAAAAACTAAATTACGTAGTGGTTCGTGGGAGGATGGGGAACTTGAGTAGTAGAGACCTACCAGAATACCAGTCACTGCCTCTTCTGTTGTCTTCCTTCCGATGAGAGAATTTTCTGCAGGGGACACTGGAACAAATTGAGCCTTGGTTGTTCATTTTGTACAATGAGGTCAACTTTCTGCTGGTCAGACTCCAGTTGTTGGAATGATGACATGTCATCTGGATTTTATGCTTTGGGGTTGAGTTCAGTTGAGTGCTTCCATCAAGAATTTCAGCAACCAGGTCAAATGTATCCTCATGCTAGTGGTCTTGATGCGGTACATTTGAAATGTGAGACAAATGATTTTTGATTCTGCAAAATGAGTGTTTTAATTTGCCTTTTGTCATCAGTTTGGCCTCCCGTAGTGTGATCTCGGGGCTGTAGCATTGTCCTTTTATTTACTTCTCACCCTTTCTTCTATAATCTCACCGGGTTCTCCCAAACTTCTCCAGTACCGTTTTTCTGGCTCCATAAGCATGTTATACATTTGGGCTGGGAGGGAATGAGTTGCAGAAATCATATGGGAACTCCGGGATTTAAAGAGAGAAGGAAGAGCGAGAAATTTGTTTAAAAATTGCTATTCATAGTACAGGGACATTTTTGTTGAGTCTTCAATATGTAATTTTGATTTAATTATTATATATGTAGTTCAGAAAGTATAGTAGGATCTTAAAGAATAAGATTGAAATAATTTCTGTCTTATGATCCAAATCCTTTGTTTGGGGATGTCTCGCTGTTACCAATGGTCTCTACAGCACTGACGTCATTGTATAGGTATTACCTACTGTTGCAAGAGGAACATAGACCTTTAAAAGTTGCCCTAGTCAGAGCTGTGACTGTCTTTTAAGCTGGTATTTGGGTACTAGTGTCTTTTTTTTTTTTTTTCTTTTTTTTAAGGCCAAAGGCCAAAAATGTTTTGCAGCCCGTTAGGGCTCTGAAGATTTTAAGCTGGCCAAAGTAAATCACTGTAAACAATGAAGAAAATAATTCTAATCTTCAGGGAGTGAAGCAAGTTTAAATTTGATTGTAATATTATAATATTTCAAGTATCTTTGCTGATTTGAGGGTACGAATGATAAAAAGCTAGTTGCTTCAGACTTTACTATGAGAGAAAGCCTCATGAGAATTTAGTAACATACCTTCAATTGTGATTTAAGCAAACCTAAAATTGTCATTTTTCTAAAATATATGCCTGTACACATTTATAAGGTAATGAATTTAGTCTAGTGGCTATTTATATCTGAGACCTTAATGAAACTGTGGGTGGGGTTTTAAGTGTTTTACATGTTTTAAAGGAATGTAGTAAAGTCTTCTCTCCTCGGGGAAATATGAATTGTTATTTACTGTGAATTGAAAATTGAATTTTACTGTGGGCAGACACTAATATTAAATTCAGGGGAGGAGCCTAGAGGGGCTATACAAGAAATATAAGACAGGCTTCCTGTACCAGGGCTTTGATATTCAGAGATACTGAATCAGAATCTACCTTTTAACAAGATCCCCAGGTGATTCTTATGTATAACTTCCCGGGAACTTGTTAGAAATGCAAATTCTCAGCAGGGGTTTGAACCTGAATAAACCCAGTTCGAAGCCCTGTCCTGTACTCAAGGAACTTAATCTAAATCTAAGGCTAGAAAACAAGAAAACTATAATAAAAAAGCCAACTATATAGGCTTGTAGTTCAAAGAGAAAAATGGCATTGTATGATTCCTCCATTTAACATTCCTGTTTCGAGCACTTGTACTGAAAATTTGGGGTTTGGTCCCATCCCTGTCAGTTTAATGTTGGTTGGGCATTGTGCTTGGGGCTTCTCAGGGTCTGACTTCTCTCCTAAAGATAAGGCTGTGAAACAAGACAGCAGGGCTCTGCAAACATCCTGCCCTACTGCCCGTGGGTGACACAGAGCCTGTGCTTATTTTTGTAGGGCCCCTGAGCTGCGAATGATTTTTACATTTATGAATGGTTGAAAAAAAATCAAAAGAATATTTCATGATACATTAAAATTATATGAATTCAAATTTCAGTGTGCATAAATAAAGTTTTATTGGAACACACGCCTTTCATATTGTGTGTGGCTGCCTTTGTGCTGTGACAGAGGTGAATAGCTGTGACAGAACCATATGACCCACAAAACATTAAATATTTATTGTCTGGCCTTACAAAAAAAGTTTGTGACTCCTGATGAGAGGATCACTAACATCCCTTTCAGCTCCGGTAGTTTATCTGTTAGATCATTGAGGGTTCCTCTTCATGGAGGAGGTTGAGCTTGAGCTAAAAGTTTCAGGGATGAGCTATGTTTTGTTGAAGAGTCACTGAGGGAAGAGTAAGGTATGCTGTAAAACCCCGTAGGGTTTCCCAGGAGTGGCTGGTGGATTTGAACTGTTGACTTTTTGGTTAGTAGTTATAGCACTTAACCATTGCGCCACTAGAGCTCTGAGGAGTACCCTCGGGAGGAGGAAATACTTGAGTAAAGACCCAGAGGTGGGGCTAAACAAGACTGTTCATGCAACAGTGAAGAAAGTGGCCCGACCAGATCAGCGGAGAAGATGGAAAGAACTAGGTAAGTTTGAGAGGCAGCCATATTGATAGTAGGCCAAGTTAGATTTCCTTCGGTCCTGCTTAGGTTTGACCTTGCCTTGCATTTGCTGGCAGAGAGACAAGACCAGGACAGTACAGATCCCGGCAGGGGTCCCACTTAATACAGAAAAGGGGTAGTGTGGGAGTCTGCATCCCTAGGGTACCCAGAGTGTGAGGCCAGGCTGTCAGCCTCCACCCAGGGAGCTGGGATTTCTGTCTGGAGACCCAGAGTGGACCCAGGTGGCCACAGACAAAGGCTCACATATAATGGACAGTAGGAAAAAGTAGGTATTATCAGAAGAAAAAGAAATTGTTAAGGAAGCCTGAATCCAGAAGCAATCTTTAAAATACTTTCAGATTAATTGCTATAAAAAATATGAAGTATAAAAGACATTACAATTACCCTGAAATCCCATCTGTGAGAGGGAGCTACTGGTAACATTGTGATGAACATACTTCCAGACATCTGTGTCTAGTTATAATTGTCATGATAGTCATGTTCCGGGTATTGTTCTAAGCACAGTATTTATGATTTAATTTTTATAATAAAATAGTTTTATGAGGCAGCTACTGTCATCCCCATTTTATAGAAGAGAAAACTGAGGCTTAGGGAGGTTAAGCAGCTTATCAGGATCACACAGCTAGGTAAGTGTACCTCTATGCACATAATTTTATATAACATAGGTAGTTGGACTCATATTTGCTTTTGAGCCTTTTGGTTTTGATTCAGTATGTTTTGGGCAACTTTTCACATCCATTAATAAAGATAAGTCTCACGCTACCACATATAGCTTTCCATTCTATGAACATACTTTGATTTTTGATAAGCAATCCCCAACTAGTGGCTACTTAGGGTATTTCCAGTATTTTACAAATTAACATCTTTATAAGACTATCCTTGTATATAGCTGATTATCTACTTAGAGTAAATTTCTGGAAGTAGGAATGCTGGTTCCGATAAAATGCAAACCTAAATATTTGATATGTATTATATCAAATGCCCTCTAGAAAGCTGGTACAAATTTATACTCTCACACTTTCACTAATTCTGGGAATTGCTGGCAGTTTTTTTTCATTTTGGCCAATCTAATAAACAAAAAATATATACCTTTGTTTTATTTTTTTAAATTTTTTTTTTATTGTACTT